TACCAAAAGGAGCATTTACGTCGTCTGTTACAAAGGCTGAATTTTTTCTTTTAAAAATAAGTTTTTGTTTCATCAAAATAAATGGTATTACAGCACGATTTAAATTTCTCGCTCAAGCCGGTAATCTCACAGATGAACTATTGTAACTCCCAGTAATTTAGACGGAATGTCTGACGAAAATCTTGAGGTATATATTAGATTAATTCCTTTCTTAAATTTCGCGAGGTCTGTGTAAGGTAACTGTGAGAACGTGCGTGCAACTGAGGTAAAAATAAGCTGCAAGCTAATTCAAATTTAGTTAATGTGGGTTTAAGCCTAAGGATGACAAGGTTTCTAAAAATAAAACATTTATCAAGGCTTTACTTTGGAAACATCGTTAAAAGTTCTCCTCATTTTCATATATTCGTATTTCGTCATATATTTTCGTATTTTCATAATCTATTTTGAAAGAAGCTAAGATTAACTTCTTTCGAGAGTTTCCCTTCCTGTAATTTTTGGTGTTATGTCAATTACACAAATTGTCCACATAATTACCATAGGTATACCGTAGATCACTAGAAAGCAATTTTGTTTATTGTAATTAACAGATTTTTATCTACAAATTGTATAACAATAAATTTTATTAATGAGAACTCCTGAGTACTAAGTATTCGCAAAATCTAACAACCACTGAGTAAACAATAAATGCCTTGCTTAGAATATTTCTACATAATTAGTTTATCGTATCGCTAAAAACGCGCTGTAGTAGATAAATAACACCAAAATGTATTTTTACTAGTTTATTCTTAAATGGCGTCCCTTTCACACAGAAATATACGGACACATATGCACAATAATACCCGTAATGTCTAAGAGTCCAAATTTCTCTACAGCCACTTAAAACCTTCTGGTTGATGTTCTTCCTCAATGATTTTAACGACGGCATTCTTATTTTAGCCTGCTGTGACAGCCAACTAGCAACTTGACATACATGGGTGGCGATATGCGCTGTATGTATGTCTGCGTGGGATTTCAAAGATAATCAATGTACTGCAAAGATTAGTTATACCTAGTCCTCTTCAGCGATCGCTGTGAGGTGTGTTTCAATTTCGGCGTGCGTCAGCTCCTTGTAACGGGGCTCGCTCTTCGAAACGACTCCTACTTCAATATCAGTGGGCTTGAAGTCCATGGCGAGGACGGAGCTCAACGTTGAAATGGCCAACTGAATTGTCTCGTTTTGATCATAGTCCGACTTCTTCTTAAATTTCTTTTCAAGATACGATATTGCCTCGGTCTGCTTGACACCAACAGATGTGGCCTTGTAGCCACAAAAGTAACCAGCAGGATCACATTTGTACAGCATTGGACCCTGCTCATCGTCGTACGAAATGAGCATCATAGAGCAACCAAGGGGACGCATCTCGGCGTTTTGCGTGTAGATCTGAGCAAACGAAGGTAATGCAAATCAGAAAAAAAATAATTCAGATATTTTATAAATGAGACCAGGTACTGCCATTTGGGCAAACAAAATCGTTCGTCACAATACATATTAGGCTGTTACAAGCGAATCCAACGAGCTCTGAAATTCAATAGCTTTTAAACTATGCGCCTCTAGTTCAAAATTTCGTAAATACGTTATTTAAATAAGTGTTTGGTCCTTGAAGGCCGGAACGTTAGGTAAATTCATCGAATATTACAGTATTATATCGTACACATGTATAATATACAGTATTGAATAGCAGTAGGCAAAGAGGTGTTAAGGGAAAATACAGTACACGAAAAATGCAAGCGTTTCAAGGGTAAAAGTCGAACTGCTGAAAGTCAGCGAGGAGGTGACTAGATGTTACCGCAGGATAAAAGCGTATCGCTGTAATCGAAGAAGCTTTTCATAAACAGAGCTTTACGCCCAAAAGCTATGCTTAGCTTGCTTCAGATCTTTAAGACAATCGAAAGCACGCACTCTGGTTAATTGATGATAACGTTAGACCTTAATCGCTATGCCTGAATTACTTCCTAGATTGAGCAAATTAATATTTAAGGTTGACTTTAGCCTGCTTATTTTTAGCTATAGTTCGCTATAATATACATACCTAAGCTCATGTGATTACAGAACTTTCCATACTGAAGAGAGTAACAAGCATATTCCAATATTGATTTGTTTTTGACAGAGAAATTAGATCTAAGAACGTGCATTAATGAGCTGCTAGAGCGGTAGGGAAAGTGTATAATAAAGGAGAGTGCCTCTAACATGTCGTAAAAAAATAGTATCTCTAGTAGCCGTATATAATGTTCTGTCATGCAACTGCGCCTTTTCAACATAGATTTAGAAGAATAAGCTGTATAATTCTGCGATCAAAAAGACATTTAATATAATCAACAAAAAATAGTACCTGACAAATATCGGCGATTCGTCGAGCGAGGATGTCAACTGGAATATCATACCCAAATTTGTACTTGTAATTAGCAGCTTCAAAACGTGCCCGCTGCACCTGCGCAGCGGAATCGGCTACTCCACCAGTCATCACACAGCCAATCCGCGGAGTAATAACGAAAATGTGCTTGATTGAAGAGGCATCGAGAAGCTTGTCAGGAACTTTCTTCTGAGTGACAACCACGGCGGTGTCTGTGCCTCGAACTCCTACAGATGTGAGGGCTCCCTGATTGATCGCTTTGAACGCATATTCCACCTGTCAACGAATGACGGACCAAAATATTACGTCGTAGCACATTTCTTTCTCGAAACGAAGACTCGAGTTTCATGCGACTTATGGGACGCGACTTCTACATTTAATGAATCCCAAAACGTGTGTTGTTAATACATGTTCCGATTCATTTACAGAGTAGGACATTTACTCAAATTGAAATCTGGTTACAGGAAAGCATTTGTCAGCACTAAGGCGAGTACATAATGATATCATTTGTATTACTGCTTTACACAGGTTAAGATGACACGATGCCTAAACCGGATTTACTAAAAACCTTCCAGCATATTAAATACGTAAATTACTTTGTTGCTAATGTTCTCCAATTCGTATACAAAGAAGTAAAAGGCGCATTTAGTCAAGAAGAGCGGCACTGATAATAAAGTTCTTTGTAGCAGCCTCCGATGTACGCGTTTCAAAGGTTGCTGGCAGAACCCGTACGATACTTGTCAAGAAATAGAAACATTTCCCTCGTTTTGTATTTTATTTTAGCGTCCTGTGCATCTGATTGTAAAGGTTTTGATCATACCTTTTTAGCATATGTCTATATGCAATTTCTAAGTTCATACTATTTATACAGTATTCGGTTGGAATTATATTAACCTAGGCGCGAACTCTAAATTTAATATCAGTTTGCACAGGTTTTGGATGGTAGAAAAATCAGCAACCTATTCGAGGAAAACCGTGAAATACTATCCAAATATATGAGTGCTATTAGATATTTGAGTAGGTCAACAGCAAAACTAACCTGATACAGGCGACCCTCTGGCGAAAAGATCGTAATGTGTCGGTCGAAACCGGCTGAAGTTCCACGAGACATTCTCTTGACTTCGGTTAAGTTAATTTTGTAACACTGGAAAACCGTCCTAAATGATGGCAAGCCGGTCCAGTCGGCCCCCAGTCTATCTGTATGCACAGCGCTAAGATGACTAGTAAATAATCGGTAGATTCCAACGCACACGGCTCAGTTGCCGTCTGTGTGTAGCTCAATTGTAGCAAATCTGCAGAACAGACATTAACCTAACACTGTCGTAAGAAAACCACGAACACTTCTAGAAACCTAGAGAACATAGCCTAAAGGTATATTTAGTTATGTTAGCTTACAAAGCATACACAGAAAAGACGTATCTACATTAGAACCGGTGGTAATCAAACCACAAAAAAGTTTATTACATCTATGCTTTTTACGAAGTTATTACCATTGTGTCATGCAGCTTTCTTGAAACAGAAATTCGTGTACTTCGGTTATTTGCTACAACAAATACGGTCATTACGTTGATCGGCCTAAGCATTGTCTTGCGCGATTGCTGCCCGACGACACACACAGATTAACTGCGCGCCAAAGTTCAAACTAAGCCAGCTGATAGGCGTCATCTTAAACGTCGGAAGCTGACGTGTATGAGTTTTTCCTGCGTTGTTCGAATCGAGAGTTTGGTGCTACTGTTTCGTTAGTTGATAGGCTGGTGGTGTGTTGTTAATATTGTAGAGTGTTTCTAGGTGGAGGTCGGTTTGGTTATAAAAGTGAAGTTCCGGCTAGTAGAGTGCAGTGTGTGAAGTCCACCTGGAATGAGCCTCCAAATTCTACAGTGCACACGATCGCAACAACCGAGTGATATACCCAATCACAGTCTCGATAGAAACGCACAGTTGGTTACAAGCAGCATGAACAATAACAGTAGTAATAACAATCAACAACAGGAGTCCACGGGACAGCAACAGTGGTTTCAGCCACCTGTAACAGGAACGCCCGTTATTCAGGTACCCCCCTATAGGCCCTCAGGAACTAATGTTTTACCACAGCAACAGCAGCTTTACGCCGACCAGGTCAATTCCGCTCCTCCACAGCAGAACTATGGCCACGCAATGCCCCCTCCCCCAGGAGGTTTCCCGCAGGATGTTCGCAACACCAATGCGCCTGCAACATGCCCACCTGTCAAGCAAAAAACTGTTTCATCTACCTGCACGCCAGTTTCGTTCAATCAAGCGCATCCACCGGGGTCGCCAGGAGGCTTCCCTCAGCCTGCCAATAACTTCCAGGCTCAAAACCTATTCGGTTCTTTATCACAGAAGCTTCCACAACACAAAGAAATACCCATGTACAATAATCAACATCAACAAGAGCAGCCTTTATTAAATGGACCACCAGTGAAGCAAACGACTTTCAATGGGGTACAACAGACTGCTTCAAAAAATTTCGGTATGGCATTAGGACCGGCGGTTAATGGGCTTCCTCCAGGACCTCCACCATGCTCTCCAATTACGAGCCCCCAACAACCCGGAACGTTTATAAATGAACCGCCCCAAAATGTAGGATTCTCGCATGCCGGTCGTCTAGGACCTCATCAAAATAAGGGCCTTCAGAATACCAGTTACCCTGGACCTCCGCTTACAACTGTGCCCCCGATACCGCCAATTAACAATGGACCTCCGGTTCCAACAAGTTTAGCCGTACCTGCAAGACCTCAGTATAATGACACAGCAATCGGTCCTGGTGGGTATCAACCGGAGTCACCTCCCCGAGGGTCGATACCTTTTGGAGTGCCCGTAAGCAGCCCGCCTCAAGTGCCTCCTCTTCAAGATCATCCGACAACATCTTCACTGCAAGGTTTACCTCAAGGAGGACCAGCTCAGGCTCGCCGACCAATGTATCCAGCAGCAAATCAGCAATCACAGTCTGCTCCTCAAATGGGCCGTACAGGACCTCAATATAACGGCCAAGGCTACCCCAATGGAGATAATGGAGATTACGCTTCAAATCTAGTTAGTCCTATGGCTGGGCTATCAGTTCGGGAAGGTATGAATAAATTGTGGGGTGTTGAGCCCGTAAACCTTCTTCAGGAACGTGACGTACTCAATGCTCAGCTTCCTTTGAGCGAATTATCGAGTAGAAATTGTTCTCCGGATGTCATGCGCTGCACAATGGTAAAGGTGCCTGAGACGTCGTCGTTGCTACAGAAATCCCGATTGCCACTTGGAATCTTGCTGCAACCATTTAAAGACTTACAGGGGCTGCCTGTTCTCCAGGTCCCAACAATTGTACGGTGTCGAGCTTGTCGAACCTATATCAATCCGTTTATCCAGTTTATTGATCGAACACGATGGAAATGCAACATATGTTTCAGGCTGAATGACTTACCAGCCGACTTCCTGCAGGATCCCGTCACGGGGCGATTCGGAGATCCCGAGTTGCGGCCGGAAATTAAGCACGGAACCGTGGAATACATCGCGCCCACCGAATACATGGTCCGGCCACCGCAAGCGGCAACGTATCTCTTCGTGATGGATGTGAGCTTTCAAGCAGTCGAGACTGGCTATCTCAAGGTCACCACTGATCAGATTCTAGAATGCCTCGACCATATTCCGGGAGATGGTCGGACAACAATTGGGTTTATTACCTTCGACTCTGCCGTCCACTTTTACTCCCTCGATGGAGGAAGCGGATTGCCTAGACAAATGGTGAGCCTAACTGTATTTTAATCATTGTACACTTGGTATTCATATATTGCAACAGAAATTCTAAACCATGTAAATTATTGTATATATATATATATATATATATATATATATACCTAAAGTTACTTTGCGGCTTTACTTAGCCTTTTGTTTGTGGCACAAATACGTTTCTACAGCTTTTTATTATCAACTAGCTAATTTACTATCATCACTCAACTAGGGATAAAACAAAGCATGCCTCTGGAAAGACTGGAAAAGACTTAACAATAATCGTATCTAGAATTTATCGGGCCATTTTTGGTTAAATTGTTGTATGTTCGAATCCTTTGGACAGTTCATAGTTCTCTGCTTGACTGCTATTACGCTAGATTGCTTTTATTGACATTGTCGCTACTAGATTAATTCCTCCAATATAAATCATATAAAATATTCGAAAAAAAAGTAAACAATTGTCTCTTCAGGTACAATACGTAAGCCATGCACTTTGAACTTGAGAATCAATGCACCTTTGTTAAACGTAAAAATAACATTATTAGACGATCCGCTCGAACACATTTTTTTAGCGTATATGGATTTTCCCTATACATTCTAAATGTATCTTGAAAAATATATGAACTTCCTTCAGCTTTATTCATTATCATCTCAAGCTCGAATGCGATTTTCTGTTGTTTGCCTTGTCTCCGATGGCACCTGGATCTCGATCGTTGCGCTTGCCGACGTATGTACAGGAACTGAAACAAACTTGCCACTTCGGCTTGCTTAACAACGCTATTAAAAAAGTTTTGTTATGTTCGTGATGGTAGCGCCCTATACCATCGGCCCTCAAGAACACCGCTGTTTACTTTGCGTTTCTCCTCACAATGACTTGCAAACCTATAATAATGTATACTGTATTCTATTTCTAAGGGTACCCAACTACCCAATGAAAAATGTACTGGTGTCGCCGTGACGCTTATCATCGGCTATACGTGAGCAGCTTAACTGTGTACAATTGCTTGTTGACGGTAAAATAATACCTCGGAGCCACTATAACTAAGACAGCGTTTAACCAAAGTTAAGGATTCAGTATTGTTCCAGGATGAGCCGTCTTATCAAAACAAAGTAGCTGCGTAGAAAAATAACTCTATTGACGCCGTAAAGATCTGAATTACTTCGACCTCTGCAAGCACTTTTCAGCGTGGACGACATACGCATCGAGTAAATGTTCTCAATATATTGTATAAATGACACTCACTGTCATTGACAAATAACGGGATAGCCGTTAAGCTTTAAAACGTTAATCCAAAGATCTCCATGGGTAGTTACTAAAGCGATTCAGAAGGTTTGCATTCCGAAAAGTAGTCGTAAACACTTTTCTTAACTGCTCGATTACGTTTTAAATGCATGAGTTTATGGTGATAACATTAGTTTCAATGTAAAAATAGAGATTGCCATGTAGTAAACCGGTACACTCCGTGAACAAGAAGAGCGTCATCTGTGTCGAATAGAGATGAATGACAATGATGATGATTAGTTGTTGTTGAACTTAGGCAAGGTTTAAGAAGCATAAAGTTATATCTGTGGAATCGATGTATCATAAATAACTTAAAAGCAAGACATTGAGGGCTAAGTCATTTAACTTGTGCATAAAACTACCTTTTACATAACATGTAAAAAAAGGAAAAGCATTCAAAAGTTATGCCAAAAAAAAGCCGTAACCGGGAAATATGCTTCGACCATACATGCCAAGTGAGATTCAAACATGTAATATGAATGTTAATAATAATTATTATTATATAATGGTCAGTGAATACATTGGTATTAGATCATTTCACTAAAACTATCCTACGGTCAAATGTACAATTCTACTTCTAGTTTTGTGGTGCCCTGTTGTTCTGCATTGCTTTCATCCTTAAGTTAGTTTCTTCCGTGCCTACAACAAAAGTGTGCCTGAGATCACCATAGTTTCAATGTTTTCTTTGATAATGTCATAATACAAATAGCGCAATAGCATTTCTCCGCGAATTCTGCGTGCATTCTCTCCATGAATTTGTAACTGGGCCCCTAGTATAGAGCATGTTAACCGCTCCAATCTTTTCATGCATGTAATCGTTGAGCGATAAGTACAACCAGAAAACCGATACTGTAGCCTTTAAATGTCTGATATATACATTATCGATCTGAGTTATTCAAAAAACGCCTCGTTAAACTGTGCGCGTGCTGGCAGTTAGAGCCTCCAGAGTGCTGCTTAATGGCGACCCCAATTATAGTTTTTGATATATTTTTCTGATATATGCAAGTTAGTACGAATTATTATCAGTAAATATATGTGTATCGAGGCAGTCAGTTCATATTTGCATCTCATTGCGCAAGAACGGAAGTTCGCCTTGGCACTGTGAGAGGTAACCGGGTTTTTACGTGTCAAACGCTTCCATATCAACAGCAACAGTAATCTGTTAGTAGTTGAGTTATTCGTTGGCATTTGTGGTTGCTTGAAATGTAGATGTTCCCGAAGACATCGCTCTATTGTATGGACCACACTCTGTCCATTTGTCTTAATGGGGTAAGCAGCTATTTACCAATGATATCGTATTGTCTCGATGGATGCTTTTACATGAATCAATGCGTAGATGACAGGGTCCAATGGACTAAGGAAAAATCCATCATTTGCAACTATTGCATATAAATTAATTTGGTGCAGGATTCTCTTACGTTAAGCCTTGTTCAACTCCGACAGACCGCAGTTATTGAATTGTTTCTCTGCCTGTCGCTCTACTGGCAAAACGGAGTAAATGTATGAGAAAAATTGTCGTCGATAATGTTTCATTGGCACTTTAGCAATCTAACCATCAATACAATAATATCACATAGATGTAGGCACTAAATATGTCTTAAGACGGGTCATATATTTGAAAAGCCTTGAACCACTTTTCAAGAGTTTGCCTGTTGTACGTTTTTTCGGCGAGAATTTAGTCAGTCTTAACTTTCTAGGTCCATTATTAACTGAGTCGAACTACGCACATGCTTATTATTATTTCTCTTATCACTAACATGCGGTAACAACAATAATAATAATAATTTTAAGGAGAAGAAAAGTAATGTAAGCATCATCATCATCATAATGGGGTTATAGGAAAAAAAGATAAATGACAGCGTTTTGATTGGCTAATCTTAGGACTATTTGTTCCAATGAAAAAGTTTGTTTTTTTTTGTTCAAGTGTGTTGTTTTTATATTCCAACAATATTAATCCCTGACATTGCCGTGTGTCGATTTACCTTTAGTTGGCATTAAAGTCAGAAGTTGTAGAAGCTTTCTCAAAACCGGAACGGAGGTTGGTTGCGATTTTATTTTTAGATGCTGAGTCGAACTTTCAGAAGTTGTAGAAGCTTTCTCAAAATCGGAACGGAGGTTGGTTTCGATTTTACTTTTAGATGCTGAGTTGAACTTCGATCAAAGCTCATACTGCGATTCATGGGACTGTGATGTCAAAGAGCAAAACAACTTTCAAATATGGAACATGTTCCGACTTTTTTGGTAAGGATAGATGCTTTGTTACCAAATTCATTGGTGTGATGAATTGATAACTTTCGAAAAATGCTAAAAGCCGCATTCTTGAATTCAGTGGGGCAGTGGCTGAAGAATTGCTGAAACCATCGCTATCCTCCGTTGTTAGAAAAATTCACCTGCGCCATCTGTGAAAAAGAACGATATGATATAATGCCGCCAGTGTACCGCATGTTAAGTTGGTTTAGGCACATGCTGACTATTGGCAAATAGACCTCGTAACTGGTTGAGAAATAGTAGCTTAGAGAACTTTCACATCTCTTGCACATAGATGCGAATATTACGTGATGTGATAAACAGTCGACATAAGCATCCTTATGTTGCAATTATTATTAGAATGTCTATGGAAATAGAGATTGACAGGACGAAGCAGGAGGAACCCATGACTGATATGGCATGCAAGTGTAAACGAAGCACTAAAAACAACTACCCGTTCATCGAGATTGTTAGAGATCACTAGGTTTTCTATGTAATAAAATTATTTTTATTATAAACAAAGGCCATAAAACGTTACATGATACGATCGATTGCACGAATCTCCATGATGTGCCACTAACTTTTGTTTCACGTATTGTGTCACAGATTATTTCTTAATATCTACTCATTGTTTTCCAATGTAAACTTTGATTCAATGAAACTTAATTGTCAATTATACGAAATAGCAGTTGTAGAAAATGACTAAAAAGGATCTGTAAAGTACTTATTGAGCTACATTGGACACTCTACTTAAACGCATAAATAATAGTACACATTACTTTTTTTGTTCAAATTAGCTATGATATATCATAGCGGCTCGTTTACCTAATTTTTTTCATCAAATTCAATTTAAGTGCTAATATGGCGTCATTCTTCTACGTGATTCAATAGATGCATTCTTTACACAATCTGTGGACGCACAGTAGTTTTCTCTCACACGATTATGATCATACCTTAATTATTGCATGGATGATAATTCATTACGATGATTTTAAGAAACTGCCATCTTTGACACTTTGGTGTCGTTTTGAACAAAGTGACTAAATATTTATATAGATAAATTCCGTCCTGCTGTTGTTACAGGTGATAACTGATGTGAATGACGTTTTCATTCCAACACCAGAAGATCTTTTGTGCAATTTAAACGAATGTAGAGAGCAAGTCCGGGAATTGCTGTTAACTTTGGGGAAGACACAGGTAAGGCTAACATAAGGCAGCTCTTTAATTCTACACATAACGCATAGATTTATGCTGAGCTGTTCACATGTACCTTGACAAATTGCGTTCGTATTTATTGCTCGTCGAAATAGGAACATTTATTACTGCTAGTGCTTTTCTGCAGTTTAAATGCCGTCCGTCTTCAATAGGTGCATCCGATCGCCATTTTGTTTTCTCATTATACGTCGTCCTTTGCTGTCAAATTTCAGTCCGGCGGTGGGGGCAACTGTCTGGGTGCCGCCCTTCAGGCAGCCTACAAGTTGCTCGCGCCCGTTGGAGGCCGTGTATCAGTGTTTCAGTGTTGTCTACCGAATCTGGGTCCAGGTGCACTCCAGTCGCGGGAGAACCCGAATGAACGCTCGGCTAAAGATGTCGTCAATCTGAATCCAGCGACCGATTTCTACAAGAAACTCGCTCTCGACTGCTCAGGCCAGCAGATTGGCGTCGATCTCTTTCTACTGAGCTCGCAGTTCGCTGATCTGGCGACTCTAGCAGGCATCTCGAAGTTTTCCTCAGGCCATGTGTACTATTATTCACGATTCCACGTTACGCAAACGCCCGATCAGGTGGAGCGCTTTTCGGGTCAGCTGCGCCACTATTTGACTCGCAAGGTCGGTTTTGAGTCAGTGATGCGGATTCGCTGTACGAAGGGTCTCCAGCTGCACACGTTCCATGGGAACTTTTTCGTCCGGTCGACGGATCTGTTGTCGTTACCAACCGTCAATCCGGATACGGGCTATGCTATGCAAGTAAGCATCGAGGAAAATTTAACAGAGTACAACGCGGCCGTATTCCAGGCCGCTGTGCTGTATACGTCGTCGCAAGGCGAAAGGCGAATCCGAGTTCATACGTTATGTCTACCGGTATCGGCCCTTCTGCCAGACATCTTGCAAGGGGCCGATCAAGAAGCCGTGGTTGGTTTGCTAGCCAAGATGGCGGTTGATAGAAGTCTTAGCTGTTCGGTTAGCGACGCCAGAGACGCTCTTATCAACGCTGCCAGCGACCTCTGCCACGCATATTCACTTACTCAACGCTCAACCGCTGGCGGGCTAATGATTATGCCCAACTGCAAAACACTTCCGCTATACGTGCTCGGGTTACTAAAGCAACGAGCATTCCGTGTCGGTGTATCGACGAAGCTGGACGATCGAATATACGATATGGAGCTGATTAAGAACCTCCCGCTAGACAAATTGTTACTACAGATTTATCCGGCGCTATATCCACTTCATCTGCAGTTGCCACCCGACCAATTACCACCGCGGCTACAGCTATCGTTCGAGAAGGTAGACAAGAATGGACTGTACTTGCTGGAAACGATTGACACGTTGTTCGTCTATGTAGGCGGAAGGCTATCACCGCAACTACTCCAGAACGTATTTGGAGTGTCAAAGTTCTCGCTGCTACCGGATTCGATGGTACGTATTAGTGGATGCCACTATTTTTCTTCAGTAGTGTTATAAGTAAATCCAGTGGACTTCAAAATTGAAAAACTAGCTGAGCTAGAAGTGAAAAAAAAAAATGTATTAGAGGTACTTTCCTTTATCTTCAACCCACTTCTTGGCACGCCCTAACAGCATCTGGATACGTGTTTTCGTATGTAATTTCTTTATCTATGGCTTCCCAAAGTAAATCGATAAAGGACTATATTTGTCCAGCAGTTGACTTTTTTAGGATATGAAAGGCATCGTTATCATACAGACATAAATTGGGAGAATAAGCTTGACTCTTTTTGTATTTTATACGGGTGACATTTAATTACAACAATAATAAAAACAGAATGTGTGAGCAAACATTATTAGCCGACGGTAAAGACTGGAATAGCTAGGCAAATTTTCAAATGATGCGTCCTAGAAAGAGATAGTGCATTCCGAATAACAAAACTGGGCGACACTGGGAACTATCTCGTGCCCAATCAATTGATTATGTACAACCGCAGATGCCCAGTGAAGGCAACCACACTAACAAATGTTGATGTTTTTTTTCGACCACAGACAAGCTTGCCTGAGCTATCGAACGAGAACTCTGAACGGATTCGCGATTTCGTGTCGTACGTTGGCGATCGTCATACGGTCACCCCTCCACTACGGGTCATCCGAGAGGATTCACAAATTCGCCAACTATTTACGCAATATATGGTCAATGACCGAGGCGAGAGCGTCCTCTCCTACTACGAATTTCTACAGCATCTACGCAACCTGCTTGATTCTTACTAAGTCATTCGTTTCCGTATCCCGGTGATCGTCTACGATTTCGCCTTCCTGTTTGTTGAATTGGTAGAATTTTATATGACTGATGTTGCTATCTCCGATAATCTAATCTACCAACAAGTGGTTTGTATTTTTTGGAGGTTTACATTCGCTTGTTCGTAGGAGCTACGACGCAAAGTGATGACAGGTCTAAATCTAGGCGCGACAACTCATAGGAGTGAGTTGCTACAGCTTAAGCTGCCAATAGAAAAAGTTACGCTGCTGATCATTATAGACAAGGAACTAATTATTAAAAAAAAAAAAAGACCCGTTCGAACCATAATTTTCGAAAGGGCTGGGCCTACAGGTAAGGGTGTCAAAAAAAGGACAGAAGCAGTCATCTTCAAGTAAGTTGGGGTGATTGTTCATAGGTACAAGAAAAGAACAAGCGATTTGTGATTGGACGTGACAACGTCAGTATTTGGCATCGTTTTTTTGCACTAGAAACTTGATTAGTTTAGCTAAAAATAAAGAACGAGAAGCATCAACTACGGCACTCCTAAGTAACGATAGAGGATGGTTACAAAAAGATAAGGCTTAACACACTTAACATGCGATGCAGAACAGGCGAATCCCGCAGTACCATGGACTGCTAAATGGCGAAGGTTGGTAGCGGCATCAGTTGGGTGAGATAAGGCAAGTAGTGGCATTTGACATTTGAGCGCGTTCACCCTGCAGGAATTTTCCGTATAGGCTAGCGTGTTTATTTTTGTTTACAGTTCAATTTGTCACACCAGCACATTTGACAAAATAAATGTTGTTCTGTGAGCGATTATCTGACCCCTGTATGGAGCGTAAGCTAACTGTCGCGTAATAGATAATTGTATCTCTGTATTGATTCCCGTCCATTAGAAGATTAGTGTTATTATTAAGATTTTACGCAGGTTCCGACCCAGGCATCATAGGATTGGCAAGTAAAAAAATATGCCAAAAGTGCGTATATACGCTATAACGTCCAGGTGCCATAAATTCTTTCAGTTGACGGTTTCTCCTTGAATGTCCATGCTTTCATTTACAGCTGCATTCAAGATATCATTAAGAGCCTAATTAAAGAGAATTGTCATTCGCTTGTTGGTTTATTAAAGAGGCTACATTGTCGTTAATAGAATAATTACGTAAAAATTATTGCTATTCACGTTAACAAAAAGTCGTCCTTACGACCAACGAATAACGGATATAGCGCTCAACTGTCACACGCATTGTCAGCGAGCTGCTTGATTGGAATAATAATTTTTGCGTATCTGTAGAGAAAACCTACAGCACGAAAAGGAGGCAAACAAGCGACATGAAGATCAAGCAAAAGTAAAGAGAAATGTGAATTCGGAAAAAGGCGGTCCAACTCTGGTGTGGTTACACGCGATACTTCTCGTACGAGCCTTGGTTATGTTGAATATTTGTAGTAGTCACAGGGAAGCCAAACAAAATTGCTTACCATGTCGGTTTATTTCCATGCTGCCGAAAGTGCTTGCATAGAGCAAATCACGAAGATTTGGCGAATGTTGATAATAATAAAAGTAATAATAGGAGAAGTTGAGTGGGAGTTGATGGCAGCAGAAGGAAACAAAATTAAAAAATAAATGAAGAATACCTACCTGACGTCATATACAACAGCGGTAGCACGGTGCGTAGGATCAGTGGTGCAAAGTGCTCACTGCGTCAGTGTTGCCTCAACGTGCAGCAGAATGAATTGAGGTAACCCAATGTTATTGTACATATTTATTAGGAGATCGGTAAAAAAAAAATAGGCACAGCGAACGATGTCAAATCACATTAGAATATATAGAATACAAATATTATCATGAAGCAGTGCAGGAGGATAAGGAGAAGATGCGAGAAAATTTGGTGGAAGATGTCAATTCATTGTGAGCTGGCGATTATTATCATGAACGAGATGGTTGGCGAAACGGTCGAAGTTGAGCTTTGCACGATTTTGACAGCTTAAGAGAGAATTCGGCTCTTAATGGAACGATTTCCATGGCAACGAACCTTTTCGTCGAATTGAAGAATACAGGTGGATGAGAGCGCGAATAGAACAGGAAATAAGTTCAAAAGCGAAAAGAAAAACGAAGAGAATAGACGAGCAAACAAGATGTCGTGACAATAACATTAAAGTAAAATCTAGCTACACAAGAACATATTTAGTTAAACAGTTTTATAAACTGAAACCTAATTGCAATGAATGTATGAATGAATAAATATGCATTAAGTTATAACCAAGACAAATTAGGCATGCGGTTGCATACACCACATACACACACGTACACCCACACAGGCCAGTAATAAACAGACAGATAAAGTCACGCACGTACAGACATATAGGATTGAAAAAGCTGGTTGATAATACAGTTTTTAGATATTATGCTTAGATATTTTAGATACTAAGCACATGGTACGTGCTATTATAACGTGCAAACGAAAAATAAAAACCGTACGAAAAACGTTGTAAAGTGATTAATAATGCGGGGAACTTCCAGTGTCGAAAACGCAGAGAAAAAAACCGGCTTCAGGGCGCTTCCGAGACGCCAAGGTGGGTTAACCCACATGGAAATAGCAGGTTTATTAATCATAGTTAATAATTAATATTGACGAAAAGTGGTCACAATGTAGCTGTCGGTGAGAGAATAATGAAGTAGATTGCCTTCGAGGTGGTTTCAAGAACAAGGTAAGGTTTATTTTGCGTGTCGATAACAGCGATGCGAGAAAGAGCAGCACGTTCTGGTCTTGATTAATATCAACTAAGATGATCACTTATTATTATTATTATTTAAATAAAAATGTCTATCTTACAGTAAAAAAGCTGTTGTAATATATTAGTATTAGAGTAGTGTAGAACATAGACAGCTTAATAGGATATACTACATGTGGAGAGGCGACTTCTGCTGAAAATGCTAATTCTATTGATAGGTAAAGTATGGTATGTAAAGTAGGACGCTAGCATGAAGGCCTATAGTAGGTTTATGTAGACTCAGCTACTCAGAGAAGTGCGAGACGACAGACCCGATCATGGGTGTCGGTTGGTGTAACCGTGATATTGAAACTGTGAAGCTCTCTTACGAATGCGTAGTGTTGGTTCAACACATCCAGAAATTATTTTCACCAATTGAGAATATCTTTTTGCAGCTTTAAGCATCAAAATGAATTTTTTCAGGCATGAATTCTTTCAACAAAGAATAAAATTTAGGCTAAAGGGATTGAAAACTCATAAAATATACATAAAAAAGCCATTTGTGGTGCTAGATTTGGATTTTAGGTAAAACTATTTTTAATCTATGGCCTTTTCTATGGCGATTTTCCTTCTTTAACGATTTTTTTTACTGACTTTAATGGGGTTTCTTACATTCGGTATGTTCTGCGGTTTAAGCTTTTATCTTGTAATCTTTAGCCTACCTTTGCGCCTACCGAATATTTTTCTTTGGGCGAGGGTATTTGAGTCTGGCGAGGCTTCAGCGAGTCTGGATTAGAAGTATCACTTTACTCGCGACTCTCATTAAAAAACAATACGCATAGTTATTATGTACTTCCGAAAACGGTTTGTGAGTGGTTTCAACCTCGAATTGGGACTGTAATTGAATCAAATGGCAGTTACATTGAATAAACATGTTTTTCTGAAATGTATAAGTCAACACATACAACCAATTTGGCCCAAATATCTACTTTGTTTTAGAAGCACTCATAAACTAGCGACACGAATATTGTCACTTCATATAATAGGAGATATCTGACATTTTAAGAGCTTCATGGAGTATGACGTTGAAGGCGATGTTATTTAATCTATAGGAGCCACAGCTACTGAAAGAAAACAAGCAGAGACTGAAATATTCGTATAGTGATTATGTTCGAATGCGCACACTTCAGGCAATTGTTAATAGAAGATGCGATGAATTTTCTCAATTCTTTCGCTTTTTTTTTTTGTACAAGCTGGCTAACTTTAAAATTTTCTCACTTCTCAAATATACTGATACTTACCAGTAAAACGTTTGCATGGTTGCGAAGGATGATACAGTTACGGTGACGGAAATTAAGGAACAATGGACGCACTGATACTACTGAGATTGAGCATCGGGTGCCTGGTTTGCTTACGGCGACGAAATCGCAAGTCTTTATATAACACTTGCAACTTTCGCAATTACCAAACAAATTCCTACATGTTTTGACTACCTCTTATATAATACCTTTATTATTTAAAAAGCAAACCCTAAAAAATCAATGTGTGTAAAACAAAGTTGGCACGATTGAGATCTCGGCTGTTACTGCAAAGTCTGTGAGCGTACCAGCTAGCGATGATTCTTATCGAAAATATATAATTCACATATCATTAAAAGGCTACACTCTTTTTGTATGTTTTAAGCTGTTAAAATATTTAAGCGACATCGATTATCAGTACAAATTTGTTTGTGCTTTGTAAAAATACGCGTGTTGATTGGTTAATATGTTTCACACAGCCAGCCAAAGAGATATCAGCAGGTTCCCCTGCAAGAGATTTGTCACAAATCCGACATAGAAGACCCACTCTTGCTTCTAAAAATGATGATATAAACCAACAGACGTAATATCTTGTAGAATAATCAATAGTGGCTTTAAATGTCAATTGGGCCATATGCAAGATACAGGTATTGTATTTGTTATTTTTACGTAGATGCTCTGTGTATTTAGATTATGATCATCTTGTTGACATTTCAGAAAGCAGTAAGTACAGACTTTTCTAGATGATAGTGAACGTCAACTTTTAATGCATAGACGGTCTGTACGGTTAATACCTAGTCTAGCTATTAATAATATAAAAACAATACTTTATTAATGATTTCCGGTTTAGTTTTAAACAAAAACAATGCGTTTCTTAGCATTGTTTACGCATAACGCACATGAGGCTCTTTTGGCAAGCAGAGTTTCGCGCACAGTCGAGTCTCCAAAACCAGCCGTCTCGCCAAGGATAACATCAATGCGTTCATCTCAACAACAGCTATGGAGGGCCCAGGCATGAATCAAGCCGGCGGAAGCCCATATCCCGCACAAAGTAGGCCCCGACAACCGGCAGACCAACGTCAGAACCCGTTTCAGGTGCGTATAAGTGTACGACATAAAAGAGAACTATCGTGAAACCGAGAAGAATATTACAGTGCTAAGTTTCGTCTATCGTTGCAAAAAATCGGATGCTACTTTGCGCAAGCTTGCACTGTTTGCTGCCATTGTTATAACCAAAGAAATTTTGGTAGTTATATTCCTTTGTAAAGCTACGATTGAGAATATGTATTGAAAAAATTAATAAGGCATTGTGCTGTACATGTTGAAGACTGCATTAACCTACAAAACATAAAAACGCGCACATTCATTACTTGAGAGCACATTCCAACCTAGGTGGCCATAATGCCGGCAAACTGTTATAGAATTATACCACAACAAACAACGAATAACATTTGAACTAATACATTATTGAACCGTCGAAATTTGTTCATTGCCAATGGAAACAGCATCGATTTTACCGATTTACGGCGCAGCCGTTATGCTCGTAGTGACGACTAATATTACGCAGCAAAAAGCAGAGGATTTTTTTAAACAATTTAATTATAAATGTTATAATCTTGAGCGATAAATCGTTTCATACATATATTAGACATATATCTAAATGCACTAGGCAATGTGCAAATTTGTTGTACATATAACCGTACAAACATGTAAATATTTGCCGAATACAAATAATCCGGTAGAAATGTCACAAGGGTGTCATACCATACTCTCACGTAATTGTGATGTTTTTAGTTTTGTTGAGTCAGAATTTTTCAGTATGTAAGTTAAAAATAATAACAACGACTACTGCTATACCTCGTTAGCTAATAGGAATTTCGGGTTTCGCGTCGATATATTTAAATAATTTAAATAAATATATGTCTGAAGTACCGTTAAAGGTATTTCGTCATAAAAGCGCATTGTAATATTCTAATCATCAACAAGATAACGTTAATATTCGTTTACTGTTATGACTTGTCTAATTTAATATTTCTCGTTTACTGTTATGACTTGTCTAATTTAATATTTCTCTACTCTTTGTCGTATTAGAATCTGACCGCTGAAGAAATCGCCGTATTAAAAGAATGCAATCGTCAAAGCTTCTACTACAGATGTAAGTTCCCTCTATTTCTCAATTTCGCCTATAACTGTAGTGTTAATATAGGCCGTTCTAATGGACCATTAATGGGAGTAAAAATGGTTAAAAATGAAAATATGATTTAATTTGTTAGCTGCACAGTTTAACTATTGGTACTTTCATAGCTTATTTGAAATAGCTTTGTGAAGCATTTGGGTAGATCATATATTAAGCTATTTTCTGTTGGGGTTGTTTAACATGTTGGGTTAATTCGTCGGTTATTCTGAGCTTATGATAAAATTTTTGGGTAATAAACGACCAAACTGAGGTAAAAATTCTTAACCGATCGTTCTAAGGGCCTTCTGACACCGACAAGGAGTGTAAGTCTATTTATATTTAAAAATGCACCCTACCAAATTATATACCAAAAACATTATAGTTAAAACACGAACACTAAGATACTAGCAGCAACTGATATTGGCATTTGCTCAAACATAGACGCAGTTGAGATAGACCAAATCTGCTTTTCTTTGATATTCGTATCCGCTGCTACTACTGTCTTAGTGTTAATGTTTTACCTATAGTGTCCTTACTAATTTAATTTTTTACGAAAAAAATGGCATCTGACTTTGAACTATTGGCCGAATGGAATCGAGTTGTGCTTATCGTAAGGTATGTACGATAATAACCTGTCTATGAATCCGCAGCAAGGTCTTAGGATAAGCCAACATTAGCGGAAGCATTTTCCTGTAGTTTCTCTTTACTCCTTGTGCAGCCGCTCTGTACACATTTCAAAACTAATTGATTTCCATCTTAGGTAAAGAACAATTGCTGCCCGAAATGGGCAGTCATTTTTGGTTAGTGATTTTAATACAGTAATAAGTAACTAGGCCAAGAATTGTGCCTCATTTTGGAGTAACTGTTTAAAGAAATGTTCAACTTTTTTCTTGATGCTCATTCCATGAAATAACAATTTGTATTGTTGTTCATTCAACACGTTTCAATCCCGATTGACTGTACAGGTGTTCCATTCGCTGTTCTCTCGGGTATCGCCATCCAATGGGCCGTCAAGGCGGGTTACCTAACGACACATCCAAAGTGGGGCACAGTTCCCAAGCTTGTCGGAGCCTGCGCTGTGTCTTATATATTGGGAAAGGTACAAAATTATATCTGCGGTTTGGTTAAAAATTTTCAGTGAATTCAAGCGTGGACGCATTCAGTATATGTATGTATATGTATAATATGCTAAAATGTCTATAAAATTACTTGTTAAATTTTTTCCTGTACCATCTAATTAAATCCAGTGGTCATATAGGCACAGATGTGTGGATATGATTTTGTCGCTACCCAATTCACCACTAGCTGCAAGTATTAGGAGAAACAGAGGGAGATTTTCAGCGGAGGACACCGTAAATTTTATCCAGACAGCCCCTGATACTGGACTTGGTTTTCCTACTCACGACGTCCGGGACGTAGACACGTCTCGTACGGCGTCATCGTACAGTCAAGCCGAACAAAGGGAGCGGCTCCCTCTTAATCGTAAGTATATGATGATAATGATACAATAGTGCCACATTGGGGTTACCGCCACGTTCCTAATCCGACCCGGTTACAGATTTAGGCGTTTTTAGAGGCTGTCAATCCTATATCGGTTCATGCGTATCCATAATCGATTATCTGCTGTTGAACTGTTTGAGTTAATGGATTCAAATCTGATACGTAAGCATCAAACAGTGCAACAGTTCGTAGTTCATTTCCGTTTTTGTGTGCTGCTGATTTTCAGTTTCACCATCATCTGCCTTACCGCCCGACGGGGAAACTTCGGAGAGTAGTCCGGTACGGTATCGCTCTTTCGACGATCTTCGACGTGAAAATCGTGCCGAATTTGCAAACAGACGGTTTACAAGTGATGGCGGCCGTATTCTGTATCCTCCGTCAGGTCGGGACCTTCAAACGGATGCGCCACAAACGCCGTCATATTCGGGCTATGCAGCCCAACCTGCGCCGTTGCCATCGCTGCCTTCTTCCGAAGATTCCAACCTAAACAAACGCTATCAGAGAAAAAACAAATATGGCGATTTCGTAGAAGACTAACTTTTCTTTGCATCATAGAATTCGAAAAAATTCGCATCAAGACTCGGGAATGGTAGATGCCTATTAGTATTGTACAAGTTGGAAGGAATCTTCGATTAGTTAACACACTTAATAGAAATGATAACAGAAACTGAAGTATCTAAATAATACTAAAAGTGTTGGATTTTAAAAAAGAAATGTGCGTTTTTTATGGGACTTTATAGATGATTATTATTACTGGAGTTGTTTCCTAGATTAAAAACAAGGCCAATGAGCTAATGTCGTTGCGTATATGATGCACTAGTAAGCGAGTCATGTGTTTCGGATCTGAATCGTTCTGGAAGAGTGATAAGGAGAGTAAGACGTACAATGTACGGATTCTAATATAAGTTACTTATAAATTACTATGTATGTGAACAAGTTAGTTCTAATAGCTAATATCGCCATTATAGAGTAGTGAAATTTAATCTTCATTATAAGAGATATAGATTTTCTAAGCTTGTTTAAATACATACATGTGCACAAGATATTCCTAAGATGAGAAAATGGTGGCCAAATGTGGATGCTAACTACTATAAAATCGTTTACCAAAACACTAACGATTCCTTTTGGCTGCTGTAGTGCGTTGAATACATCTTCTGAGCCAGCGTGTAGTAGAGTTTTTAGTTTTGCACTGGCGTAACGTTCAAAACAGATCCACCTGATGCAGGTTAAATGCCCAGTTCCACAAAAAAATTTGTGTGCTCATAGTTTCTAAGCGCTCAATGAGAAACTTTGTAGCGTTTTCAATTATGTGACGTAAAGCATCGTAGTGAATGAAGATTATGCTAATCTCTTCTTGAAAGAAAAACCTAATTTCCATCTAGGTATGCATTTACCACAAAATTTTTCTACACATTCACTAGGCTCTCGTTGTGGCCACGCTGGCGCTCCGTTGTTCGACAAACTTTCACATTGACGGCAACGAATTTCGTCGTCTTCCCACGTTGTTACTGCAAAAAGTACTGTTCTCCTGCAGTAGTTAAATATAGCAATAAACTTCTAGTTGGAAGAGCACTAAGAATAAGCTTTTTTTTAGGAAAAGCCGAAATTAATCAACAAAGAATTGAAAATAGCTAAGTACAAAGCTGCACGTGCTCTGATTGCTATTGATATATGAGAACAGTCTGACGCGAGATATTTCCCTATGTAACTTAATGGAGTTTATTATAGTGTTCCTTCCTATATTTTAGGTTAATGCGTGAGTCCTTGGGATTAATCTCCATATATTCCTTTTCCCAATTTGTCGTTGCCAAGCTCCCAAATATTACACAGGGTGTTCTTGAGTTTAAGGTCGGTTCTGTAGGGAATGTTAGAGCTTAGTAAATGAAGCATTCCTCGTGATGAAACTCATGGCCCCGGTTATTATTATTATTGTTAAAAAATAGAATAGAAACAACGGCCATATCTGTTTTTAGAGACATAAATTAGAAAGATATGATTGCGTAAAAAACCGCTGTTTTGATTTAGAAGCTGGAAGTACTGCATATGTGAAGGACTCCGTGCCTTCATCTCATACTCAAATCAAGTTAGCTAAGTAAACAAAAGTAGTAGTAATAGGTCCAAAACTATGTACGTCTACGTTTTTAGCATTAAAACGAAATTACTGAATATATCTCCATTCAATTTCATTTCAGCTATATAAAGGCAAGACCCTTCTCGCTCATTAGCTACCAGCCAAACATTGAAGCAAGCTCTTATTTTAGAGCATGGTATCTGTTATCGCTTAATCACATATTTGAGTAGTGCCGCATCGGTAAAATCAATTAAAATGAAAAACTTTCACTTTGCTTTCAGCTTTGGCAATAAACTGATACCAGATTGCCCCCATTGTGAAATGTTTCAGTTGTCACTTAGTAAGCTCTATCGTTTCTTGTATGATTAAGGTAAAATTTTGAGACACCCTGTATATTGTCGGAACGATTCTTCCTGCTTCCTATATATCTCTATCTATTTTTTGCCTGTCGCTTATCTTTAAAAAGAGTATATTAGGATAACGCGACTACTAGTAACTACGATATTTAGTAAAAAAACGTTGGTTTCATTTTATACGCATATGGTCGTATTTTGAGAAATGGTCGAGCTTGAAATCTGAAGCAGATATAGACTTTTATAACCCAGACAAAATGATGGCAATAGGCTGTTGTCAAGCAAAGAGTCAAGTAAAGTTTTTGTACGGCTCATAATAATTAGCGAATCAGAAAAGATACAAACTGAAAAGGAAATCAGTAAACACAAAGCCCAGAAACTTACGCATGGATCAGACACAATTACACTTTAATAATCTTCCATATATTTCGAGATCGATGTAA